CTATCTATCTATCTATCTATCTATCTATCTATCTATCTATCTATCTAAAGTTTTCGCGGGTACTTACATGTATGGTATTCAGCTTTGTTTGGGTATTTTCCCACGTCATTATAGCTGTGCTTTTAAAGTTGTAGCAACGTTTTGGCAGAATCTCATCTGCCATCATCAGGCTTCTGTATTGTGTTCATCTGTGAGTCAGACTTTCACAGCCATTTCAGCCTGATGATGGCAGATGAGATTCTTCCGAAACGTTGCTACAACTTTAAAAGCACAACTATAATGATGTGGGAAAATACCCGAACAAAGCTGAATACTGTATATATGTAGCCAAGTTGGTGGTTCAGGAAGAACAGTATCCCACAGTTAGCAATCATCATATCCAAATACTCCTAGGAAGTGATGTTGGTCACTAAATAAGAAAGAGGTGATGCTGGCTGAACTAGTTTTCATTGTCCAAAATACAGATACAGATGAACAGAGTTGGAAGGGACCTTGGAGGTCATCTAATCCAATCTCACCCCCACCGAAACAGACTCTACACCATTTCTGACAGTCTCTTCTTGAAAGTTTCCAGTGATGAAGCTTCCACAACTTCTGAAGGCAACTTCTGCTCTATCAGTTGATTGTTCTCACTCTTCTCCTTATTTCCAGGTTGAATCTCTTCTTGATCAGTTTCCATCCATTGTTCCTTGCCTGGCCTTCAGGTGCTTTGGAAAATAGCTTGACCGCTTCCTCTCTGTGGCAGCTCCTCAAATATTGGAAGACCGCTATCATGTCTCCCCTGGTCCTTCTCTTCACTAGACTAGCCAGGCCCAGCTCCTGTAACCGTTCTTCATATGTTTTAGCCTCCAGTCCCCTCATCATCCTGGTTGCTCTTCTCTGCACTCTTTCTAGAGTCTCAACATCTTTTTTATAGTGTAGGGACCAAAACTGGATGCAGTACTCTAGGTGTGGTCTTACTAAGACTTTATAGAGTGGAATTAATACCTCCCTTGATCTTGATTTTATCCCTCTGTTAACACACCTTAGGATTGCGTTGGCTTTTTTGGCTGCTGCTGCACCCTGCTGGCTCATATTTAGCTGGTTGTCCAGTAAGGTGAGGCTGGCTGAACTGGACATGTTCATGAAATGGACAGTGATTTGTCCAAAATGGTTTAAGGTCTCCTGCTTCTGCAGGGGGGTTGAACTAGATGACCTCTAAGGTCCCTTCCAACCCTTTCTGTTATTCTGTTAAATGCTTCAGGGTGCAAAGAGGAGTTTTTCACTTTCAGAATCTGACTGCACCAAAGAAAGGCATGAATTCTTTTGAAAGGCATGAATTCTTTTGTGATCATTTAACTGGGTGCCAAATGAGTAAGGAAGCAGATTTTTATTCTGTCTGCCACAGCCCATTCTGGTGCAACATTCTGTCTTTTCTCCTAGAAATGAATTAACCTTTCACTTAAATTGGAATGAGGAAAGAAAAGGAGTAATGGTTGATCAGGGGGTAAAAAGTGCCACCTTGCTGGTTGGCATGCAGCCCAAAGTCATAATGTGGTTGCTTATTTTTCATTTAGTATGAAACCAAAGTTCGTTGAGCATTCAAGCTAAAGATTGAATCCATTGTTCTGTTATTATTCCCTACAGTTGATAGTTAGGAGGTAGTTAGATGCCTTTAAAACTTAGAGAATGCTTGAAGGCCTGGCTTTTCAGCTTTGTAATGGAGATGAGCACCGACCCCTACAGCCGGGAATGACTAGCACGTATGTGCGAGGGGAACCTTTACCTTTAAGCTTAATAAAGCTTAAAATCCGTTTGCTAGCTCTGCGTTGATGACTTTTACACGTGTATAGTGTTCATGGCTACACATAGTCAGATAACAGATAACAGATAATCAGAGTTGGAAGGGACCTTGTAGGTCATCTAGTCCAACCCCCCCACCCAAGCGGGAGACCCTACACCATTTCTGACAAATGCCAGTTTAATCTCTTCTTGAAAGTCTCAAGTGATGACGCTCCCACAACTTCCGATGGCAAGCTGTTCGATTGGTTGATTGTTATCTGTCAGAAAATTTCTCCTTATTTCTAGGTTAAATCTCTCCTTGTTCAGTTTCCATCCATTATTCCTTGTCTGGCCTTTGGGTGCTTTAGAAAATAGCTTGACCCTTCCTCTCTCTGACAGCCCATCAAATATTGGAAGACTGTTATCATGTCTCCCCTGGACCTTCTGTTTACTAGATTAGCCAAGCCCAATTCCCGCAACCTTTCATTATATGTTTTAGCTTCCAGTCCCCTAATCATCCTGGTTGCTCTTTTCTGTACTATTTCTAGAGTCTCAACATCTTTTTTATAATGTGGTGAACAAAACTGGATGCAGTACTCTAGGTGTGGTCTTACTAAGGCTTTATAGAGTGGTATTAGTACTTCCCTTGATCTTGACTGTATCCCTCTGTTAATACAATTTAGGATTGCATTAGCTTTTTTGGCTGCTGCTGCACACAGCTGGCTCATATTTAGCTGGTTGTCCACTAAGAATCCAAGATCCCTTTCACAGTTACTGCTATTGAGCCAGTCTATATGTGTACTTTTGGTTTTTCTTGCCTAAGTTTAGGACTGTACTTTTCTCTACATTGAATTTAATTTTGTTAGATACGACCCAGTGTTCTAGTCTGTCAAGATCCATCTGGATCTTGAGCCTATCTTCTTAGGTGTTAGCTATTCCTGCCAGCTTAGTATCATCTGCAAATTTGGTAAGTTCCCCTTCTATTCCCTCATCTAAGTCGTTAATGAAGATATTGAAGAGTACTGGGCCTAAAATGGAACCTTGTGACACCCCACTGCTCATTTCCCTCCATGTAGTGCATGTACATGTAGGATTGCTCACAGGAAAGTGCAGTTGCAATTAGCACGGGTGACTCGGGAGTAAGGCTGCAAGGTAATGGCCCCTGCTTCAAGAAGGTAAAAGCCAGCTGTGAAGCGAACGTTCTTTGCAGGAAGCAAAGGCGTTTTGATACTCAGCCTCGTGGACATTACAGTATTTTAAGTTGGTATTTGAAGGCTCTTGTATTGTGAAATATTTCTTATCTGTGATTTTTGGCAGTCTCGTACAGTTTTGGCAAGGTTTGTGTTTATCAAAGTTAATGAGTTTGCCGCAGCCTTTTAACCGGGGATTCGTAAGACTCATTAAAAGTTTTCTGTTCCCTTTGGTTATTGTTTGTCTTCCCGGAAAAGGGTTTGGGTCAGAACAAACCATAGACGGTGTAGTTCAAGGTTGTCCAAGCCCAAAATTTCAAGCCTGGTGATGTAGGGAATTCTGTTGTGAACAGAGGAGTGTAGTACTCTTCTTGATGAGTGTAGACTCATCCAGAGTTGGCAGGCATTAAAGTTTCCTCTAATGAGAGGACTTCAGTAACAGAAAGCGAATGAGAGGCATTGTTTCTTCCATCTCGTCTCACAGAATTACTTCCAGCTGGTTGCTACTCATTTATACTTATCTTTTCCTTTGCCAGTTCCACCTCAAATTGGGGAGAATGCTCTTCTGACTTCTGTGGATTCCTACAAGCATGGCTCCACCCAAACTCTTACGTGTACAGTGTACGCAGTTCCAATGGTGACCCGCATTCAGTGGTCCTGGCAACTGGAAGAAGAATGCACTTTCAATCCACAGTAAGTAGAATGCAAGTTCCTGGTGATTGCTTTTCCCACATTTGATTGGGTTACAAATACCTTGCGTTGGTGTTTGGAGATCTCTCAACAAATCTCTTCTGGGCGACTCGGGAGTAAGGCTGCAAGGTAATGGCCCCTGCTTCAAGAAGGTAAAAGCCAGCTGTGAAGCGAACGTTCTTTGCAGGAAGCAAAGACGTTTTGATACTCAGCCTCGTGGACATTACAGTATTTTAAGTTGGTATTTGAAATCTCTCTGATCCTTTGGAAAATTCTTCTCCTGGAGGTGAGACAGGCCCCGTCTCCTGGCCTTCTGAAAAGGGGTTAAAACATGGTTCTGTGGCCATGCCTGGGAAGCCCAAAAGAGTACGGATTTGTGGGGTTGGTGAGTGCCACAAGAGCCCTTCCTTTGCCTTTGTCCATCAATTTTTTAACAGGGTTATTCTTGCCTCCTTAATATATAGGTACAGCTATAGCTATAGATAGATATAGATGTAGCTATAGATATGTGTGTGTGTGTGTGTGTGTCAAAACTACTCAAATTCCCTCCAGTTTTATTTGTGTGCTGGATTTTGGCTCTAGGTGACTGCTGGCTCTCAGTTCTGGAAGTTTTTATTGTTGCTGATACATATAACAGATCTGTAGTGTTCTCTCCCCCAAGTTTTCTCTCTTGGGGGGCAAACCAGGCCTTCATTTGTCTGGGTGTCTTATCTCTATGAAAGTGAATGTCAGTGGAAACCCCTTGATAGATGGTAGGAGTGATAGAGTGAGCTTCTGACCAAGGGCCACTTCACTTCCCTTATCTGAATTTTGCACAAGAACAGACTTCCTTTTAGAATTCAAAAAAAAAGAAAAAGAAAAGGGGAATCTGTTTTCCTGTTGTTGTTGTTTTGAAAACAACTTCCTTTCTGTCTTCTTCCTTTGGTGCCTAACTATTTCCTATGCAAGGTTGGGCAATCCAGAGAAATATTGATTCCTATGTTAACCTTTGCCTTTCTTTTAACAAAATTCCCGTCCGATTTGTTGATTTTATGAATGGAGGTTTATTTGCAAAACAACTGTTCCTTACCTTTAATATCTATAGGGCTGGAGCTAGCCAAAATAAGGAAAATTTACCTCGAGGGCCTGAGAATATTCCTTGGCATATAGCAGCAAGGACTTTTAGGCATCATATCAGAGTCTATGTATGATCCTAAAATAGGAGATGCAGAAAAATATTGCGGCACATAAGGACTTTTGCTTTTCAGTGCTATAACCAACCAATTGGGGATGCTCCTTCAGTAGTGAATACTTCTCTCTCTATGTGGTATGGCTCTTCTGAATATAGACTCTTTGCTAAGAATTTTTGGAACTGAATGTTGCACAGTTGCAGGGCACAGAAGCTGAGAAAGGAATAAGAGGATGGAAGTTGGAAGGAACCTTGGAGGTCTTCTAGTCCAACCCCTTGCTCAAGCAGGAAACCTATACCATTTCAGACAAATGGTTGCCCAATCGCTTCCTAAAAACCTCCAGTATTGGAGATCCAACAATTTCTAGAGGCAAGCTGTTCCTCTGGTTAATTGTTCTCATTGTCAGGCAATTTCCCCTTAGCTCTAGATTGATTCTTTCCTGGATTAGTTTCCACCCATTGCTTCTTTTCCTACTTTGACCCCCTCTTCTTTATGGCAGCCTCTTAGATATTAGAACACAGCTATCCCTTGTTCTTCTTTTCATTAAACTAGCCATACCCAATTTCTGCAACCATTCTTCATATGTTTTAGCCTCCCATTCCCTAATCATCTTAGTTGCTTTTCTCTGCACTCTTTCTAGAGTCTCACCATCTTTTTTTATATCATGGTGACCAAGGTTGTTTGCACAATCAGATATTCTTATTGAGTCACTATATTCATAAAACACTTATAGGCAACTTCTATCTCCCTAACTCCATCTTCAGCTATAAGAGCTCCCATGGAGCTCAGCTGATCAGTTAGCTACAACATATTGGAAATAAGACCTTAATTACACTTAGACATGAGATGGTTTCATTTCCCTACTCCAAGTGATTCATGCAAAGTGAGATCACAAGGAACATGGTTTTTAATCTCACTTTCCTGACAATTTATATTCATCCATTCATTCATTCATTCAATTGCTATACCACCAATTAGTCAGAGTGGCTGACAATTAAAAAATATATTAGTTAAACATACTAAAAACTTCTAAAAACAATAAAAACAAAAACATTAGGTTAGATTTTATATACAGTATATGCAAGATACTTGGCCAGTATTGGAGAGATAATGCTCCACAATAAGCATTGCACACAAAAAATGTAGTTTGCCACCTACCGTTAACAATTGTGATACTTTTTTTGTGATCATTTTGTTATCAAGATGAAATTTCTTTGATTTTTCTCAGCCAAGCTGGAATTGGGAATAATCCCTATGCATGTAAGAAATGGAAAAACATAGCAGACCGAAGAGGTGGAAATCAGATTGAGATCTTAAAAGATCAGTTTGTTGCTATTGCTGGGAAAATGAAGGTGAGATATTGATTTTTTGTTTGCTATTTGCAAAGCTGTTGGAAAGTTAGGTGGTAGAATTTAAGTTTCTATATTGCAATTTGCACTGTGCATAAACAAAATTCCATATAAATAAAGAACTGTGTGCATAAAACAGAAAATGACATTATTCAGTGACCGAAAACAGAGAAAGAATTATAAATTCTTCCTGGGCTCCAGAATGTTATCTGCTGGTCTTAGTTATCATTTAGCCCCAGTAACTTAATGGTAAAATAGATTTGATAGTAGAATGCGTCAAGCTAAACAAACTTGGCAGGTATTTTTTTTGTTACCATTATTAATCATCCCTAACATTTATTATCATAAATATATGCATTGAAATGCTAATTTTAAAGGATTTACAAAAGGTTCACAAAAGGTAACATTTAAAAGAGTTGAAACTGAGCAGTTGAGTTTAGTCAGAAATGGCATTTTAACTGTTCATGGAGACTTTTAATATGATATGAGAAGCAATATAGAAATGATGATAATGATAACAGTCATACGTGTTTTTATTTGGCGTTAAGCCCCATAAGATAATGGCTTTTCTCCAGCAAGTATGCAGTTTCGTTTATAGCTTAAGGCTGCAATTTTAAGCAACTATTTAATATTTACTGCCTATATTTGTATTAAGATTCTTAGGTCAATGAATCAATTCTTAAGCAGAAAATTCATTCTGAACCCAATAGGACTAAATTTTACATGAGTCAGGGTTGAGTCAGGCCTGATCATGTGATATCAAGTTATTTCTAGAGAATGTGCTGGTTTTTCAGCTTCACTTCATTTCTGGATTTTTATGGGCAATAATAAACTCTCTATTGACTATTGTTGCAAGAGAGTTGAAGAATGGTCAACAGTTTTTGTGATGACCCAGGCCGTGGCACAAAGGCAACCATCGTGCCTCCTGTCCCTGTCCTATTGTCCCCATTTAATTGTACCTATTTTCTGTATTCTTACTCATGTTTATACCTATACCTATTATTTTGTAAGCAATTGACAAATCAAATCAAATCAATCAATAAATAAATAACAGTCAGATAATAGGTAGGAGTCCGTTTATTAGCTCCAACTTTGCCCCAATGTCCTGGTTACCTTCTGGCTGGAGAAAAACTCTCCCAGGAACAACCTTTGGCTGCAGAGAATCAAGTCCAAAACGTGGTCAACAAAAACTGTAACTATAAGTTCAATCAAGCCAAACTGAGGTAATTAGTTTGGCAGAGCAGGAGCAAGAATTCCAGACATGAAGGCATGGTCAAAACTCAATATGGTTGGAAAGAGACCAGGAACACAGATAAGCAAAGTCAACATGAGATAAACTCACATTTGTTCCCAGCAGCTGCTGCACTCAGCATGCATCTCTTTTAAACTCTCTTCCCAGGTGTGGCTAATGAAGGAAATCAGGGCCCTTTCCTCCTCCATAAGCCACACAGCCCATGTTGCTCTCTTCTCCATTCCTCCCTGCGTGCCCTAGGATGAAGAGGGGGTGGGCCTGGGTCTTCCTCTGAAATCCCTCTCCCTTGTTCTACCTCTCCTCTGCTATGCCCAGCCGGACTTTGCTTTTCCCAATTTCATCCACAGCCAATGGAGCCACACTCCCATTCCCTGTCAGCTGTTCGTCTTCCTCCTCAGATTCAGACTCCGACAGGGGCATGACAGTTTTACTTCCGTTCATCCAAGAGGGTAGTCAACTTGACCATCTAAATTTCAGGTGCCAATACATCCAACAAGGGTGGATTGTGTTGCAGTAGAAGGAGTAGCTTGGCTAAACTAACATGACGACCTGTTCCATTGACTCATTTTGCAGAAGATCAGCCCAAGACCGTATCCTTAAACCCCTTGTTCTCTTGTAGACGGTGAGCAGCCTCACGATTCAAGCAGCAAATGTGTCCACCTTGTACAGATGCGTAGCGAATAATAAAGTTGGAGAAGGTGAAAGAATCATGTCATTTCATGTAACTAGTAAGTCTTGCTTACCGAACCCATCTACCACATTTTTTTCAAAGCATGCCTCCCTTCCCAAATGACTGTAAAAGATCATGGCAAAAAGGCCAAGCAGGGGGTTGGACTAGAAAAGGGGTCACCAACCTTTTGGAGCTCAGGGATCACCAAACTCATCATTTTAAATCCCCCAGACCAAAGACCCTGGGAAAAT